CGTCACACAGTCTGTTTTAAAGATATAACAGATATCCGTACTTTGAAGTGCACAGATAGTAGTGAAATGTAGTAATAATTATGAAGCAGTTATATATTACCTTTGTTTGCAAAATACTTTAATTATATGTTTATATAATTTAATTTTTTTAATAATGGCTGTGTATAACAAGTAGAATCCCTAAAGACTGGATGCCAGGTATTCTCTCTCTACCCCACTCTGCTCAAATTTCAACTGTGAACAGGAGAAGAAATTGCAATAAGGGAGACTCCCCAGTCTCTGGTGATGAGATCAGGCAACACTTTTACCTTTGGACTCCTTTTGGTAAGCAGGAACCAAAGAATAATGTTCACAGAAGAACAAACGAGGTCCAGAGCTGGCCTGATCCAAACCCAGGTGTCCCAGGGCTTTCTCCTCAGCTGTCACTTCCCCAAATTCTGGTTGAGGACCATAGGCTCCTGGCTCCCCAGGCATCCCAGCCTCTTCACTGGCTCTGATGAGACAGCTCTCTTTCTCCAACAGAAGTGCCAGAAGCTATGACTTTTCCTTTCCTTCCTCAGAAGCCAGGCAAAGAAAGAGGTACCTCATTCTCCCTCCCGCTCCATCGCCTGTCCATCCCATCACCTTGCATAGATGCCTCCTAATTTCATGACACTGCCTTTCCATCCCAGAGAAGGAGCCACTCCCCAGCCCAATGGCAAGCCATGACCCGGCCCATGCTAGCGTGGGTCCCCACAGTTCCTGGAGGCGGTGGCCCAGTACTACAGGGAGTCAGTCTACTGGAGCTGCCTCTCCCATCCCTGACCTTTGACTGGGATCCACCCCATGTTACACACACAATTCTGGGGGCCAGCATCCCCTGTCCACTTGTCCAGACTTGTCTCTGTCCTCCTGCCTGACACACCTAAGCCAGCCAGGCCCCAGGGGCAGAATACCTAGTCTAATCAGAGAAAAGCAGGAAGAGGTATCCTGAGAGGGCAACTTCATCTCCACAGCTGATGTCCCTTCCCAGCCCAGCAAGGACCACGAGGTCCAGTTCACCAAACATTCACATTTTATGGTAGGTAAAATAAGGCCCTGAGAATCAGCTGGGCCTGGGGGTGGGTTAGTGGCCCAGACAGGACTAGATCCCAGCCAGGTGAAGTCCTATGCATAGGCCCACATGCCGGGCAGGAAGGCCTCCTACCCACAGCCTCTGGCAGGACAGGCAGACAGTTCTCCTGAGGAACTGGGTGCCAGAGAAGCCAAGGGCTGTGGGTCTGGCTCTGGGAGAGGGCACCCATGATGAGTTTTGGGAGGTTGGATTCCAGCTCTGCAGAGAGGAGAGAGGAACAGACTGCCTGATTCCTGCCGGGTCTCCTATGAAATGGGAGGGGCAGGCTTCCCAAGGGCTGCCACAGAGATCGCATAGCCTCACAAGCAGGAAAACTAATGAGCAAGGGTTCGATTCCCAGCACTGGGAGTAGGGTGCAGGTGAGGCAGCAGAGGCAGCAATTCTATGTAGTGTCAGCTATAAAACACACAGATAGTGTATGGAGGACTCCCAGCATGACCACCACTGTTCCTAGCTCCACATTCACTCTCACACCCCGACTATCACGTCCACACTAGTTGTTAAATCATAAGACAATTATGAGCCTTGTTAGGATACCTTTTTCTTAATGTCCATTTGAAGTTTTGCTTTGTGTTTGTAGTGGTGAGGATTGACCCCCAAGGCCTTCACACTGAGCAACATCCCCAGAGCTTTTTATGTTTATTTTGAGTCAGAGTCTCAATAAGTTGCTTAAGAGGGACTCAGACTAGCCACCCTCCTTCCTCAGTCTCCTAAAATGTTCATTTGATTGTTTTGGTTTGTTTTTTAGACAGGGTTTCACTGTGTAGTTCAGGCTGGGCTTGAACTAACTGTGTAGCCCAGGCTAGCCTTAAACTCATGGTGATCCTCCTGTCTCAGCTTCCTGAGCATTGGGATGACAGGCATGTGCCACCAAGCCTGGATGATTGTTTTTTGAGACAAGGTCTAGCTGGCCTTGAATTTATTATATAGACCAAGTTGCCCTCAAACTTTCAACCCTCCTGCCTCAACCTCCCAAGCACTGGGATTACAGGTGGGCCTACCCAACACTTCTGAGCATCATTAGAAATATTAACTTTTTTTCCATTCTGGCTCTGAGGATCAAACCCAGGATCTCATGTCTGCTAGTCACTCTACCACAGAGCTACACCTCCAGCACTAAGAAATAGTGACTCCACGGCACTTTCCTTCACTCATTCAACATCAATAGCAGTTGTCCCTAGTGTTAGGCACTAGATGTGCACTGCAGAGAAAGATCCCGTCTCCATCCTGAAAGGTTTATGGAACCTAAAGGGAAGCTGCCAAGTAAATGAGGACTTATGATGATGAAAGCAGAAGCATTAAGCACAGGGCCCATGGGAAGCAAGAGGGGCGCATCTGATCAGGCTTGTGAGGAGCAGATGGAAGCCTTCCTGGAGGAAAGGATGTGCACTGTACAGCAGTGGAGGGAAGGAGCCACCTAGGCAGAGAGGCAGACCAGTGGGCTATGCCTTGCACACCCGTGGCCCCAGCACTTAGGAGGCTGCCACAGGTCTGAGGCCTGTAGAGCAAGGCCCTGTCTCAACAACAACAAAGTGGGAGATAAGAATGGTGATCTCTCCACTCCCCATTCCCTTCCTCAGAAGAGACAACTCTTGCTAAGGCCCAGAGGGAGGTGGCTAAAATGTGCCAGTTGTGAAATTCTAGCTCAGGAGCCAGGTGAGGGGGAGCCACACCATGACCTAGAAGAGGTCAGCCAGGCCCTACTTGCTCCTGAGAGTGAGAAGCCACTAAAGGTGTAAGTGCAAGGGTGGCGGGAGGGCTGGCGCACCAGCAAGCTCTAGGGCCGGGCGTTGCTGGTAGCAAGTCAGTGCACTTGCCTAGCATGCGAAAGGTTTCGCCCCTAGCACCACCAAAACAAAACAAAACTAAACTTCAAAGCATGGCTGTCCTCAGACAAAGCACTAGGGGTGAGCAGAGCGGTTGGAGCAGAGAACTGGTTAGGAGGCCACTGTACTAACTGAGGTGGAAAATGGTGGTGACTAGAACAAAGGGAGTCTCTTCTGAGGTGGAAAAAGAGGCTGTGCCGGAGCGCAATGAAATGAATGACTGGCAAGACAGGAGTGAGACGCCTGGGCAACTTGCAGGCTTCTGGCTGGGGTGGCACCCCACTCTGAGATGGGAGCCAGGCTGATCAGACTTGGTGTAGAACTGGGACTTATTTTAATATTTATGATATGATGATCTCAGATTCATAATGCAGCTTAAATGTAACTTTATGTATGTGTGGCTTTTTTGGTTTTGTAGATCAAGGCAGTTCCCATGCCAGCTGTGATGGCACACACCTATGATCCTGGCACTGGGGAAACTGAGGAGGGTCACTCCAAATTCAAGCAGAGTGAGCGCAAGGTCCTGAGTTCAATCCCCAAAAAAAAAAAAAAAAAAAAAAAAAAAAAAAAAAAAAAAAAAGAAAAGAAAAAAGAAGAAAAGAGAAACCTCAAATCAAAACAAAAAAGGCAGCTTTCCACAGGAAATGTGTGAGGCACACTTGTAATCCCAGCACTCAGGAGGCTGAAGCGGGAGGATTGCCATGAGTTTAAGGTTGACCTGGCCTGCATAACAAGCCCCTGTAAGAAAAAAAAAAAAGAAAAAGAAAAAGAAAAAGAAAGAAAAGATTAAAAAGAGAAAAAAAGCAGCAGCTCTAAACATTCTGTGTGTAAAGGGGTTATCTTGGTGCATTGAAGTGAAAGGTGAGGAATGCACCATAAAAGCACATTTAATGGACTCCATTGCATCACCTTTATCAGCCTTTCATTCAACATCCAAGTCTGGTACTGGGAAACAGACAAGTATCCTGGCCCCATAGAGTTTACAGTGTAGTAAAGCAAAAAGTAATAGGGGATTATAAAACACACTTTCACATAAAACATTATTTTTGCCTCTCTTTTATAAATGCATAGCTTTTACTGCAAATGATGCCCATCAAAGAAAATATGAAAACTGCAAGAAATAAAAGTAAATTGGCCAGGTGTGGTGGCACATGCCTGTAATCCCAGCAACTGGGAGGCTGAGGCAGGAGGATTACTGTTGAGTTCCAAGGCTAGCGTAAACTACATAGCAAGACCCTGTCTCAGGACTGGGGAGATGGCTCAGTAGAAAAACTGCTTACCTGGCAAGCTCAAGGGCCTGAGTTCAATCCCCAGTTCTGAAAAAAAAAAAAAAAAAAAGAAAGAAAGAAAGAAAGAAAAGAAAAGAAAAAAAAATACCCTGCCTCAAAACAAAGCAAAACAAAATGATAAATTGTTCACAATTTAGACAATATAATGCCTATTAATGCTTTCATTCCTTTTCATCCATTAATCTCTCTAAATATTTTATGGATACAATTGAAAAGACTTCTGTATCAGTCTGTTTGTATAATGCTATTTTCACCAAATGCTGTGATTCTAGGATAATTATCAACTCTTCAGAACCATGATTTTAGTAACTAAGAGACAAACCACGCACCACTATCTCTGAGTATTTAGTTTGTTTCCAATTTTTCCAAAAAAATTTTGAGAGAAAGTCTTGCTATGTAGTGGAGGCTGGCCTCAAGCCTGTGATCCTCCTCCTTCAGCCTTCCAAATGCTAGGATTATAGCCATGCACCAACCCACTTGGTCTTCCAACTTTTTTAATTTTTGTATTTCTTTTTTTATTCATAAATATATATTTATATTTCAATATTGAAAACAACATTGAAAAACTTTGAGGAAAGGCTTTTTCTGTATCTTCAATTATTTTCCCACAAATAATTCCTAAGAAATTAAATAAATGGAATGAAGAATCAGAAATATTCCCAGATATGGTGGCACATTCCTGTAATCACAGCTATTCAAGACTTGGATCATGAGTTCAAGGCCAGTTTGAACAACCTACCAAGACCCTATTTTTTTGAAAAAAGAAAACAAGTGCTCACTTTCACAGCTCATATACTAAAACTGGATGATACAGAGACGATTAGAATGGTCCTTGTGCGAAGATGATGTGTACATTTGTGAAGCAGTCTATGTTAGAAGAAATCAAAATTCTTTATATATTTATCCTTTGAACACACCAATTTTATGATATGAGGTGAGGATTTCTTTTTTACTTTTCAGAGATCTAAAATGGTCTCTTTAGGCAACTCCTCCTGCCATCCTATTTATCCCCAGCCTCTTCAATCTCCATTGGAGATCAGGGAGATGAATTGAGAGGTGGTACTGTAAACTGGGTTTCTCTTTGCCCTAATTTTTGTTTTGTTTTGAGGCAGAATCTTGCTATAAAGATCAAGCTGGCCCTAAATACACTGTAATCCATGTTAGCCTCAAACTCATGGTGACCCTCCTGCCTCAGCCTCCCCAGTTCTATGATTTCAGGCATGCAGCACCACACCCAGCTTTTTTGTTTTTAATTCTAAGAAAGTGTTTTCCTTGTGTGAGTAACTAGCTTTCTCTAAGCATCCTCACTTTCTGATGAGTAACCAAATATGCTTCTCTGCTTGAACTTTGTCAGAAATGTTTGTGCCAAATCCTTAAAGAAGCCTTTGGAATACTCGAAACTGAATAGGATAGAAAAGAAGCTGAAAATAATTCAAATTAATAAGTGTAAAGAATCTAGTACAGTGCCCAGCACAAGTGAAGGGTTCAATGAGTGGTATTCATTCCCTCAACAGACATTTACTGAGCCCCTGCCAGAGCCAGAGTCTGTGCTGAGCTCTAGGGACTAGCAGAGGCCCAGATGGACACAGTCACTGCCCACCTAGAGGTTAGTCTGGTAGGTGAGACAGCCCTGGACATATGATTACTGTAAGTGTTAAGTGTTGGGGAACTAGTGCAGGCAGATAATCGAGTGGATAGTTTGAGGGGACACTGGCAAAGACTAACAAAGGAAAATATTACTCAATATAGTAAGAATTTTAAGGCCAGTCTGGGCAGAGGCCACCACTAGGTATCAAAGGTGCAGGCAGAGAAGATTTGGAGCTTCCTGTCAGCCCTCTACCCAGAATTCTCTCAGTACACTGGAAATAAATGCATGGTCTCAAGGCCCAGCTAAGCTCAGATGAAAATAAAACACCCTAGGTGGGACAGAGAATACAGGTAAGGAGTACAGCTCATCCAGTAAGGGAAGCCAGGGAAGCCAGAGGCAGGGAAGCCAAGAGAAGGGGAGCATTGTGTCATAGGTAGGGACCCATATGAGAGACTGGAGACAAGGAGGAAGCAAGGATGGGCCATGAACTAACACAGAGGTCAGGGAGAAGTGGTGAAAGCATGAAGACTCAGAGGTGACAGGGACAGGAACAGGGCAAGAAAGCTGGCAGAGGAAGTTGGGAAATGAGTGACAAAGATGGTCAGGGTGACAGAGACAGGTAAGGACAGTCCTGGTGGGATGGGACTAGAGCTGGTGAGTGACATGGTGGGGAGGAGGCAGTTGATAAGTGACAGAGTTGGTTCAGATGGCAACAGCCTTGGGTGCGGGCCAGGGAGGGATGTTGTCTGCCAGGAAGGCAGCGGTGGTAGGAACTGGGGCATGTGATAGCATAGATACAAAAGGGGCAAGGGTTGTGACGCAGGGATGATCGTGAAGATGACATGTGAATGACAGGGTGAGCAAACAGTGAAGGACATCAAGGCGACCTTAGGAGACAGGAAATGTGGGTGATGAAGTCAGTTCAAGTGGTGAATTAGACACCCATTCCGCCTTCTCCTGTGAGCCATTTCAACATTAGAACTGTTTTCTAGGCCTCAGGTTGCATGACTCAGTACTATCTATCAGCCATGTCCCTTGATAACATCTCTAGGGACAGCCACAGCCAGAGGGACTGGCCAAGTGCCCATCTGGGTTGTGCCCAGGCTAGTCCCATCAAGGGATCCAAGTGTGGAATCTTAGTGTCATCTCTGCCTTCTCCCTCTCTGGGCCTCATCCGCCCCAATCCAGTGTCCCCCAAGGGCTCCCAGCCTTCCTTTCTGTGGAGAACTTAACTTCTGTAGCAACTTTTCTAAGCAGGGACTTGTCTGTTTTACCAAGATTCTTCCACAGCTGACCCCATTAGAAGTTTCCAGGTCTTTAAAGCTGTCTCCAGCCATCCCTTAATAGAAAGTAGAGGAGATGGATGGGTTCTGAAAAATTTCATTTAACTGGGCAAGGTGGTGTACACCTGTAATTCCAGCTATTGAAAGGCTGAGGCTGGAGGATCATAAGCTCAAGGCCAGCCTTAGTAACAAGACCCTGTCTTCCAAATGACTTTTTTTCTTAAAAAAAAAAATATTTAGCACAGGATCTACAAGGTTTCACTACACAGATTGGACTCGTAGTGATCCTCCTGTTTTCAGCCTCCCAAATGCTGGGATTACAGGTATATACCACCATGCCCAGTCTCAGTTGCCATCTTGGCATGTCTCAGGGTGCTCCAGGGGCAGGGCTGGCACAGCACACCAGGGATCAAACCCTAGTCCCTGTGCTCTGCCTAAGCAGGCACTTTAGTCTGCAGAGCTATCTGCCAGCCCTCAAGACCCTGTCGTCAAAAAGAGCTCAAGATACGTCTTAGTCCAAGGGCCCTGGGTTCCATCCCCAGTCCCACAAAAATATAGCAAAACAAAAACAAATGAAAAATTCCATTCATTCATCCCACAAATATTGAATCCCTTTGCAACATGCTAGAGACTGGCTTTTTGCAACTGGACCTATTTCCTGTCTCTGCAAAGTTCCATCTCAGGATACAGACTTGTAAATGACCATCACCACTAGGAGAAAGTGATATTAACTTGTAACAGAGGGAGCAAATTGCTTTTGAAACCCTGAAGACAGTGGGTCTCATTAAAGAAAATCTCATGGCCTATCTATGCCAGTGATGCGCATTGTAGAATGTATACTGCATTCCTTTCACTTTTTTAACAGAAGGAAGAGGAAAAAAGGGAAAAACACTACATCTGGGTGCCCATGCTGCTTTAGGGAGCCCAGGATCTAGGCCGATGTGGTGGCAGAAATGTCAGAGCCTCAATATGTCCCCCTTGGAATCTAACAATTGCAATGAGTCAACTCAGGAGAATCCTTACTGACTCTTGGCAGGTTTCCCTGTTCCTTTCTATCCTGCTCCCAGCCACTGTCTGTCCGTAACTTTAACTTATTTATTTACATCTTTTATTTATTTGGTACAGGGTCTTGCTACACAGCTTGCACTTGTAGCAATTCTCCTGTCTCAGCCTCCCCAGCACTGAGATTATAGGTATGTACCACCATGCCCTGTTTTGGTAGCCAGCATGGGGCCCACACAGCATGCGGTACTGGGGATCAAACCTTGCTCCTTGTGCTTGCCAGGCAGGCTCGTAGACTGCTGACCTGTCTTCCCAGCCTTAACTACCATGTTTTAGACACATTTTCATAGTCCTCTCATTCCAATCTTCTAATTCTTTTTTGTGTTTTCTAAGACAGAGTCTCAATGTGTAGCTTAGGGTGGCCTTGAGTTCGCTATGTAGCCCAGGCTAGTCTGAAACTCAGTTATCCTCCTGCCTCAGCCTCCCAAATGTTGGGATTAAAGGTATGTACTACCATGCTTAGCTTTCAATCTTCCAGTTCTTATACTTGGCCTCCCAGGTCCTCTTGGCCCGGTTCCCTCCATTGGTTCCTTCTGGTTTCCTGGACAGCCTTCGGGAACTCTCTGTGCCTTTACTCACAATGAAGCCTCTATATCAAGGTCCTCCTATCCTCCTTCGCCTGAATTTAAAGATGCCAGGCTAGAGGGGAAGGCAAGCCTCTCCATCATCTCATGCAACACCCCACGTGGTCCTGATGGTGACACCAAGGCAAAAGAGGATGGAATTTGTGCCTCATCTCAGAGCAAGCTGAAGTTCCTGGTAGCCAGCATCCTCACTGCTGCACTCATCTGGTCTCTGTTCCAGGCAAAGCCTGGCTCCCAGTGTCCCCCTCCTGCCCTCCTAGCTTGATGACAGATGAGCTCACAAGGTCAGCACTCAAGAACACTAGGAGGTTTGGGTTCCTCAGAACCTCCCTTGCCTGAATGAGGCCCACATTTCCGGTCTCATCAGGCATTCTGAGCTCCAGCAACACCAAACTACAGTCACCTCTTCCAGGGCACCCTGGTGTCTGTCTCCAGACGTTTGCACGAGCTGTTACCTCTCCCATGTCCTTCAGGCCTCAATATTGAAGTACAGGGCCTGGAGAGATAGGTCAGTAGAATAAACACTTGCCTGGCAAGTGCAAGGGCCTAAATTCAATCCCCAGTTCCAGAAAACACACACACACACACACACACACACACACACACATATATATATAGTCATGGGCAAGTCACCTGACCCTTGGAAATAGGACCCCAGAACTTGATTGAATACTATTATTGTCTTGAAATTCTACATACTTTTTGATTTTATTTTTCATTTTTATTTTTTGGCAGAACTGGGGATTGAACTCAGGTCCTTGCGCTTGCCAGAGAAGTTCTTATTCCACTGAGTCTACATGCTTTTTGAACAAGGACCCTTGCATATTCCTTTTACACCAGACTCTGAATACTTTAGCCAGTCATATGAAAGAATTTTGTTTTGGTGAAACATCCTAATTCCCAATCTCCTTCGATTGATTGCATCTGCAGTCTCCCCTGCTAGTTGGACTTTACATTCCATAAGGGCAGGAACTACATGGAGCTTCTAGTTTCCCTTTAGCTCACAGGCCTCAGTTTCTCCTCCCCAGGGAATCTATTCTGTTCACAGGGAGCTGACATCTGTCCTGGAGCATGTGACTTAGGCTACTCCTATCAGGTCAGGCCATGTTCCTGACTCAGGGACAGCATGTAACCAGGCTGATATAATCAGCTTATCTTAGGGTTTTTCCTGGAAAAGCTGACAGATGTGTCCTTTTCCCTGCTCAACATTAGCAAGGAAACCTATGGCCTGGGAACTATTACCAGTTGTCTTAAAACCATAGGAGGATTCAAAAGCCAGTTGGGATAACACTCAAGAGGCTGAGGCAAGAGGATTGCCAAGAGTTGAAGGACTTGTCTAGCAAGTTCAAGACCCTGCCTT